TGTTTGGAGGTTCTGATTGGGTAAGTGTGCACTTGAGTGTATATCAGGAAGCTGGGGTTGGGGAAGTAGGGGATTGCACACGGTGTTGGAAAATGAGACTGCCAAACACTGAAGTACACTCCCAAACCTGAAGTATTTATGAGTTTTATTGGATAGATAATAAAGAGCCCTAGGACCTATGTAAGCAGAATGACAAACATCTTTTGACAGTAACTTTGAGATCAGGGACTAACTTGAATTTTATTCCTGCTGAAAACTAGTTTGCAGAAGATTGTTGTGGCATCTGACATATATGTATCTGAGATCATGTAAGAGTACATGCTCTTTGATACTATTTTTGTTCTGTTTGATTAAAAACAATCTGTCTCACTTAAGTTTACTGTCAGCCCTGCTAATGGGTTATAAGGTTCCCTGGTGGCACCATGTGCAAAGCACTGGGTTCTAAAGGTGGTAGTTGCTATAGTTAAGTGCCCTCTAGTCAAATCCACCAGCAGGCTGCTGCATGGGAGGAAGATGGAGCAGTCTTTCGTAGAATATTCTATGGCCTTGGAAACTAGTGAAGGGTTAGCATGAGCCAGAATTGATTCATTGGCAGTAGGTTAATGTGTTGTAACCTGAATTTTTTTGGGGGGAAAAATGCATTGAGATTTATATTATGTCTGCATCTTTTCACTTAAAAGTGTACATATATTATCAATGGTATTATTTTCTACTGGCTTGATGTTTGTAGTTAAAAAATTCTGTAAGACTAGTTTTCATTCTATGTGCAGTTACAGATAAATTAACATGGCAGACATGAGCACTGTATCTATTTGCTTCTAATTTTTAAAGAGAAAGAAAAATAGGTTGCTCCTTTATTCAGTACTGATTTTTTTCGTTTCTAGTGTGAGAAATAGTAAATTTTTAAATGTGATCCTTAAGCCTTTAGTATTCTATGAAAAAGATTTATATGAGTATTATAAACTGTAATATTTTATTCCAAAGAGAAGGTCCAGTATACATTTGGAATCTTCGCTTTACTAATAATAATGATGTTTCTGTCATTGCTCTTTAGATTTTCATAATCATGTGTTTATGTTAGGACTGGACAGGACATTTTTGTTAGTGATCACTAATTCTTATTTTAAAAGTTTTGACTCCTCCCCCGTTCTTTAAGTGCATAGCAGATACCTAGAAATTGAGTAGTTTCTACTTCAGTAGTGTAGTCTTATAATTATCGTGTGAGAACTTTCACATTAGTCACTCACGTGGTAAGCATATTTCATATCTGCTTCTTTATGAGTCTGGAATGATTTGTCTAGGGCCAAAACATGTAATCTCAGACTGTGCATTCACTTAATCCAAATTAAAGATTAGAATATTATTTTAGTAATGATACTTGTTAATTTCTGTCAGCATTCTAGGCATATAATTTATACTGGATCTTTTTTAAATATACTGGATCTTTTATAAGAGAAGTTATTGTCTTTAAAAGTTAAGACAATATGTGTTGAGATTTGAGAAGATAAATTTCTGCAGACAGTACTGTAATTTAAAAATAATCTGTCATTTGGGAACTCTGGATAAATTGTTTTGATTTCTTTAAAAGGAAATGCTTAGCAAAAATAAGAACATAGTGATATCCTTGTAAGCAAATTAGTTAAAAATCTCCACAATTTAAAATTCTAAGTTCTGAGAGAGACATCTCTTTTCCCCATTGATGGATCCAGTGAACTATCTGATGTCATCAAATCTCTTTGATGTCATTAGAACTCTTCATTCCTGCAGAGTTTTATTGATGAAAATTCTTTCCTGGAAAAAGAAGGATCACCCTGTTTTTTTGTCAAGGGGTGTAATAAATTGCTCATTGTTCGAGCCTCCTGAAAGTATCATATTTTTCTCTCCCCCAGGGGAATGAATTACCTGTTATATTATTTAAATGTATGTATGTCTGTATTATTATTATTATTATTATTATTATTATTAATATCTGCTATTGAATTGATTCCAACTCTTAGCACCCCCATGTGACAGAGTACGGTTTTCTAGGTCATGATGTTTGTGGAAGCACATTTCTCAGTCTTTCTCTTGGGAAGTTGCTGGGTGGTTTCCTACTGCAAGTTTATTTAAGGGAGCCCTGGTGACCTAATAATGGTAAGGAGATGCACTACCAACCTAAAGGCATGCAGTTCAAATCCACCAGCCCCTCCCCTAGAGAAGGATGGTCAATCTCCCCTCATGCAATTTACTGCCTTTGAAAACTTGCTGGAAAGTCACCTATGAGTTGATTCTTTCTCAAGGGCACATAACAGTACAGCAACTTCTCAGTTAATACTCAAGTATACAGCAGAGATGCTTATTGTCAATATATTTTGTAATAATACTTTGTATATCAGCCAAAAGAACTAATAGAGGTTTTAATTTTTAATTTGAAGATTTTTTTCTTTTTATACTTACTGATTTGATGCAATGAATTTTTGAGTATTTTTCAGGAGTTGTAGTAGTAGTTTGATTTGTATATTAGACTGTCTCCATTTTGTTCTGTACTAGGCTAAGTAAGTTTGTGTCCCCACCCTAAGAAAAATGAACTCTAAGGATTTTAATATTTATTCAGCAATGGTGCAGTTACTAATGTTACTAGAAAGGGAGAATTTATAAATGTTTTCTAAAATTAAAGCTTTTTAAAAAGTTATGTAAACTATGATGATTAAAAGGAAAATAAAGGCATAAATGTGAAGAAATCTCCAGCAATCCTGCATTCTAAAGCAACTAGTTATAGTTTGTTGTCTTTCATTGCAGTTATTCTGTGCATTTTTGGTATAAATCTTTATTGTATGTGCATGATGCAGCACTAAGGCAGTAACTGGGTGTATGTGATTTTTGCCTGTAGTGGAGTATTACTGCAGGTTAGAAAGAAGATTGATACAGATGGGTAGAAAAGGAGGTTAGAGAATTCCTAAATAGTGTGGAACCTTAGGCTATATATGAATTCCCTGTTTATAAAATTTTGTTAACTTCTTTTTAAGGTCCTATTTATTAACATTTAAATAATAATATTAACAACATATTAACAGAAATTCCTTCTTATATGGGGCTTATTTTAAATTGTTTCTTATTAGAAATGATGCTTAAGAATTAATTTTTGTCTTGGGTGACCCAGGAGGACATTATGCTGAGTGAAGTATCTCAGTCACAAAAGGACAGATATTGCATAGTGCCACTGTTGTAAAACAGATCTGATATTGGGGGTGGGGGGAGACTGAGAAAGAGGATAAATAATGTATACTGCATTGAAACAGATGAGGTAGAGAACTGTTTAAAAGAGATAAATGATTAGATATTATTGTCATGACAGGAGTCCAGAATGAAGGCTGCATAGTGGAGTGGACTTGGGGGGAGGGATTATATAACAATGAAAGATTTTTTCTTTTACTTTTCAAAGAGAGTGGATTGGGTGGGGAGGGGTGGTCAGGGAGAAAAATACAACAGTGAATGAATGGAAATCCAAAGTCTCTGTAAACTTCCATTAAAATTAATAATTAAAAAAAAGGGAAACAAAAAAATAAAATTCATTTTTGTCTATAACATTATTTCCCCAAATGCTGGATTATATCTGTAGCAGTGAGATTGAGATGAGTATGGAACATTTAAAGACTAATAATATGTATTGCCAAAGTTTGGTTTTTGGTTTCTTTTTCGCTAGTGAACAAATTTGCATTAAGAATTGGGAAACACACCACAACAAAATAAAGGTAAATAATCCAATTGAAAAATGGGCACAGGTTATGAACAGACACTTCACCAAAGAAGACATTCAGATGGCAAACAAACACATGAAGAAATGTTCAAAATCTCTATCTCTAAGAGAGGTGCAAATCAAAACAACTATGAGACATCATCTCACCCCAGTACGAAAAGCAAAATTTAACAAAGCAGCAAACATCAAATGCTCGTGAGGTTGTGGAGAAACTAGAACCCTTTTTCACTGTTGGTGGAAGTGTAAAATGGTGCAACCACTATGCAAGGCTGTATGGTGCTTTCTCAAAAAGTTGGAAATAGAAATACTATTTAACCCAGCAATTCCATTACTGGGAATATACCCTATAGAAGGATAACTGCCACCCAAGCAGATAATGCACACCCATGTTTATTGCGGCTTTGTTCACAATAGCAAAGAGTGGGAACAGCTTAAGTGCCCATCAACAAATGAATGGATAGAGAAGCTGTGGTATATTCACACAATGGAATACTACGCTGCATTGAAAAACAAGGAACTCATGCAGTATTACTCCAAATGGGTGACCCTGGAGGACGTTATGCTGAGTGAAATATCTCAGTCACAAAAGGACAAATAATGCATAGTGCCACTGTTGTAAAATGGTCTGACATCAAGGTTGGGGGGAGATTGAGAAAGATGGGATAAATTATGTATAATGTATTGAAACAGATGAGGGAGAGAACTGTTTAAAAGGGATATGTGATTAGATATTGTCATGACCGGAGTCCAGAATTAAGGGTGCATAGTGGAGTGGACCTGGGGGGAGGGATTGTATAGCAGTGAAATAATTTTTCTTTTGCTTTTCAAAGAGAAGAGTGGATTGACTGGAGAGGGAGAAAAATGGAACAATGAATGAATGGAAATCCAAAGTCTCAGTAAACATTCATTAAAAAAAAATTTTAAAAAGTTTAAAAATTAAAAAAAAATAGGGAAACAAGTTGTTGCTGATAGACAGATTGTGGCTGCACTTGAAGCTTTTTGATTGGGAGTTTAACCTTCTGTGGGGAATACTAGGGGGTCCTGGTAGCCTATTTGTAAGAAGCTGTCCTACAATCTGAAAGGCAAGCAGTGTGAATCCACTTTGAGTCCTACTCTGCAGGAGACTGATGGCAAATCTCTTGCTGTGTGATTTACTGTCCCTAAAAACCCATTGGAGGGTCAGCTATACATAGGGGAGAATTCTACCCTACTACTAAATTATTACATATATTTGCTAACTGGAGCATATTTTTTCCTTTTGTAGGCCCAGATTACTCTTCATCAGCATGGTTATCTGGTAATGAATCATTGTGGCAGGCCACAACTCTTCCATCTAACCATCGAAATAACCATACTAGAAGACACAGTATAGCTTCTGACAGTGGAGACACTGGCATTGGAACGTCTTGTTCTGACAGCGTGGAAGGTGAGCTTGAAATTCTAACCTTTTAGAAGGGAGTCTTTGGCAGTTGGTTGTGATGTGACAAAGAATTGATTTTTTTTTAAGCTAAAAAAAAAAAATAGTAATGTTTGCATATTTAATATGTTTGGTGTTGCTATAAATTAGATGAAATCAATATTCTGGCCATATTACTGATTTTTCTATAATTCCTTTTTAAAATTCAAATACTTTTTTTGACATAATTGTAAATTTGCAAGTAGTTGTAAAATACAGAGAATTAATGTGCCATTTGCCTAGTTTTCTAAAGTGTCAGTTCTCTTCAAAACAATAATACAGTTTCATAAGGAGGATATTGATATTTTACAGTGAAGAGACAGAACATTTCCATCACCTCAAGGATCCTTCGTTTTATCATTTTATGACCACGACCACTCCTCTTTGTTCTTTCCATTGCATTTCTCTTTAATCCCTGGTCACCATTTTTCTATATTCTCCATTTTTATAATTTTGCCATTTTCAGCATGTTAGATAAATGGAGTCATACTGTGTATAAATTATTGTATCTTAAAAAAATGAGCATAAATCTCTGGAGATTCATCTAAGTTGTTAACATATATAAGTTAATTTATCCCTTTTATATTGTCAAGTGATATATAAGGAAACAACCACTGTGGGTTTAACCATTTACCTTTTGAAAGACAGCTAGATTGCTTTGGCTGTTAGGAATAAAAATGCTACTGATACTTTTGACTACTAGGAAAAAAATACTATATACAGGTTTTGACGTGAGCATGTATCTTCATTTCTCTGGATTAGTTACATGTTTAATTTTTAAAGAAGCTTCCGCACTGTTTTCTAGAGTGGCTTTATCCTTGCCGGCAGTCTTGCGTGTGTGTAAGTGATCTAGTTTTCCTGGTTGTCTTGCCAGCATTTGTTATCACTATTTGTCGTTTTGGCCGTCGTAGTAGGTGTATAGTGATCTCTCATTAACATTTTAAAATGTGCTTGTTTCCTAGCTTTATAAGAAATTCAGCTCTTCATATAAGCTTTATTTAGTATGATCTGTTTGGATTATTACCTATTTTATTGTTGGTTTTGAGAGTTAAAAAATATTTGTCAAATACTGGTTCTCCATCAGATAATATGGTTTACAAATATTTTTGTCGCTTGTTTTTTCATCGTCATAAAGAGGGATTTTGCAGAGTAAAAGTTTTTCATTTTAATGAGGTCTAGTTTTATAACATTTTCTTTTTTGGATCATTCTGTCAGTTCTAAGTCTAGTACTCTTAGCCTACACTTGGGTGCCCAAGACCACCTATGTCTTTCAGTCTTAATTTATTGGTTAGAAAAAAATACCCAGTTGTTCCTTTTACTGCTAGTTTTCTCAGTTTTCAATTTCTGTTCTTATTTATTTTAATACATTGAGCTTAATTTATTTTTTTTCTGTAAATTTAGATTATTTTCAGAGCTGCCTTTTGCAAGTTACATTGTGAATTTCCTTTTTGACTGTTTTACCAGTATTCTACAAAGCTTAGTGGGTTTTCATCCATTTTAGTGTATTTTTTCGGGTTTATAGAGCTAGTTTCTTTGACACTTGGACTATTTAAAAGTGTGCTTAGTCCAGCAGCAGTAGCAAAGTTCAGTAGGACAGCAAACAACAAATGCTGGTGAGGTTGTGGAAAGATTGAACTCCTATTCGTTGCTGGTGGGAATATAAAATGGTGGGACCACTATTTAAGGCTGTCTGGCTCTTTCTGAAAAAATTGGAAATTACCATTTGATATGGCAATTCTGCTGCTGAATTTGTCTGACATACTTTGGACATGTTGCAAGGAGGGGGACCAGTCCTTGGAGAAGGATGTCATGCTTGGGAGAGTCTAGGGACAGCGCAAGAGAAGACGACTCTCGATGGCTTGATTCAGTGACTGGGGCTATGGGAGTAGGTGTGTCAGAGACAGTGAGATTGGCACAGAATAGAGCAGGGTTTAATGCTGTTGTATATAGGGTCACTGTGAGTTGCAGGTGCTCAATGGCACATAACAACAATAACCCTAAAGAAACCAGAACGACAGCTCAAACAGATGTATGCACACCCATGTTTATTGCTGTATTATTCACAGTAGCAAAGAGATGGAAGCAACTCAAGTGCCCATCAGTAAATGAATGGATAGAAAACGATGCTATATCCATATGTTGGAATACTATGTACCACTGAGAAACAGTGAAATGGTAAAACATTGTGCAACATGGGGAGCCTTGAGGACATTGTGCTGAGTGAAATATCTCTGTCACAAAAGGATAAATACTGCATAACACCATTGTTATAAAATAGTACAGACATAGAAGGGTTGGTGGGAATGGGGAAAGAGTAGATGGATAATGAACACTGATTAGAACAGATGAGGGGAAGAACTGTTTGAAAGGAATATATGATTATGTATTATATGTATTATATGTATGAGAGTTCGTCCCTTTTGATTTTCTGACTCCAGCTCTCTGCACATTTCATTATAGTATCTTGTTTTATCATCCCGGGCTGCCTTTTGAAATTTTCTGTTTAGCTGTTTGATTTCTTGGTTTCTTCCTTTAGCTTTGGCTTCTCAGCGCTCTGATGCAATATTCAGAGTCTCATCTGACATCCATCATGGTCTTTTCTTCTTTTTCATCCTTTGTAACGATCTTTTGCATTCTTC